CCTGCCAGGGAAGGAGCAAGAGAAGAGAAAGATATAGAAGGGGCAAGAAAAAAGAATGTGCAAAACTAGGAGTGATAAGAGAGCAGAAATAAAGATAGAAGGGCAGAATATCCGATAGTTTTTTTTCTCCTACATCCCCTTCATGAACCCTGCAGTCCTTATCTTACTCCTGCTTTCTACATTTTTACATGCTTTTTTTTTTTCCTCTGGCTGCTTCTTTATTTCTAGACATGATCACAGTATTCTTCACTTTAGAAGAGTAGACTCTTATCCTCTTAAACTGTATACCTGAGGACTCCTTCTAGGAGTCTGTGTCCCGTAGACTTGAATGGAGGCAGGCTCGTGCTTTTCAGTCTGCAGCTGAAGTACTGGTACCTCCTGCTCTCCCTGCTGCAGATGCGAGGTGTAGTTGTGCCACTGTTCTGACTCAGTAAGGCATTTTGCGGGGACTTGTTAGTAATTACGTAGCTCTTTCACTGCTGCAGGGTGTAGTAAAAGTCCTGTGCCCACAGGTAAGGATTCCTAGCACCAAAGGATTTACGTGTCAGCAGGAGTGGGTTGCTCGTCTGAGGAGATGAGCCAGCAAGTTCCCAACACCACTTTTCCCAGAGCTCTTCTCGCTGCAGCCGTGTCCGAGGTTACAGCTGTGCCACGCTGGAGCCAGCACGGAGGGCAGGCAGCTACATTTTGACAAGGTTCCTGACACTAAGAGAAAGCATTAGCTTAATCAAAAGGATTGCTAAAAATCTTGCTTTACTGTCAACTTTACATAGTCTAATACAATTTTTTGCCTTCCATTCAAGTATCTCCTATAATCCAGTCACAGGCCAGTTCTGGCTGCAGCAAACAGCAAATGCCAGGCCCTGAGGTCCTTCTGCCCTGCAATGCCTTCACTGTCCTTCTCTTTGTAATTCAGAAAAAGCTATTTTTTCTGAGTTATATTTCAAATTGTGATCAGCTTTTTAAAGCAAAGAATACTACACTCACATACATATATTTGATCGTGTAAGTATGTGACTCCTGCTAGCTCTCAAGAAATTATTTATGATAAAGCTGTGTTCTGCAAGCAGCATTTGGAGACCATATCCCAAAGCATTAGAGTGAATAAAAAAGAAAATTATGAGAATAGATCTAACATTTCTTGTGATATTTTAATAGCGAAGCGAGGAGGGAGCAGCCACAGCCTCTTTTGTCACGCATGGCTTTCAGACAGTTCAACAGAGGTATCTAGGCCAGCGCCGTGTCCCTGGCCAGGCACCAGCTAATGAGGACCTCCTGCCACAGCACGCAGCCTGCTGGGGGGAGCCTTCATCGTGGGCCACCGAGAGCCCCTGCGGACCTCCCCTCTTCTCGGGAATCTGGGCTGTGTGATGTGGGTCTCGCAGCTTTCAGCCACACGGAGCTTTCCGCATGCAGCTTGCAGCACGGCATGGCGTGGACACTCCGGGAAGGCAGTCACCAGCAGAAGGATTCGATAAAAACCCTGCAGATTTGCTAGGGGGACAAGGTTTTAAAAGCTCCATTTTCTTCGCAAATACAGCTTTTCTTTGTGATTAACTGCAGACACAATGAGCTGCTTGGGTGCAACCTAGTCACCCAGAGGCCAGAACTGAAAGTCTGACCTTTAAGCTTAGAAAGGCTGGGTCCAAAACCTTCACAGGACTAACTACTGACCTTCTGGGCCAGAGCCACCATTGCATTGATTCTGAGCAATTACAATACAAGTTATTATGTTTCTGGTTTATCCTAATCTATCACAAATCACTTATCATCCTTTGAGTTAACACAGTCCAACTGTACTCCAATTAGCAGGGAAAAAAAAAATCCCCAATGAGAACAATAAGCATTTAATACCTGGCCCACTCAGCTGTCTGCTAGCCTAGCTTTTCTGCAGCCAAGCAGGGGAAGATTGTGTCTACCCTCTACTGCTCTGGGCCAGGTCTCCCTTCCTCTCCACTGCCAGTGTGTTTGTACAGCTGCTGCCCTAATCCTTCTTCAACCAAACGTTACCACCATCTTGTCCGCACATGCCTTACCTCCCCCTTGCCAACCTCACACACACTTTTGTTCTTCTACTCAAATCAGGACGTATTTTACTAATGGCTAGAACAAATTCTTCTGAAGTCATGAGGTGGGCCAGTGTTATAGGTAACACCATCAGGCCTTTATATGAAACTGGTTGAAGTAGTGAGCAATTGGGAAGTCAGCAGGTGTCCTCAGAACCTGTCCTGGGGTTATTCTAGGTCTCGCAAGTAGCACTCTTCTGACACTGGGTTTTTGTTGTTCTGCAGCTCGTTCGGTCATCAATAACAGAAGAAAAGTTGCAGAAAATGATTGTCTGCTTTCCTCCACATGTAACATCCATGTTGTGTAAACGTGAATGACCATTTAAGGTGGACAGGGATGGATAAGCAAGATGCCTAAAGAGAAGGTAGTCTCCTTAGCATCCTCTGTGTAGTCTTGCTCTACTTCCAGGAGAAATCTATCTGGGATCTCCGCTGTGCTAAGGATAAGGAAGGTCTTGCTAAAGCTCCTGAGGCCAAACACTGAACTCTTTCATTAAGCACGCCCCTCTTGAAATCAGTGGAAGTTTTGCTTCTTTAGAGGGCTGCATATCGTGTTCCTGGGCAGATACCACATGCAACAAAATAGTGTAAGACTTCTGAGCACAAGAAAAGGAAGCCAGTTCTACCCCACAAGTGAATGCTCTTTCTCTTCTGTGAGCTCATCCTGTGGGTTTGGGGACAAACAGAAGCGAACCCACACAGATACGGAAATAAACGGACTTACAAGAAACCAGAATGAATTTCATAAAAAAATAAAAAATAAAAATAAAAAGTTTCCAGTCACCTCCCCACCTCACTTACAAACTCCCTACTTCAGGCCACACAATAGCAAAACCATGATGACATGGCCAGGAAAACACGATACAGTAAAAAAGTGAGAGGATCTGCTGGATTCCAGGCAACTGAGTGCAAAAAGAAGGGCAGGAACTGCCCCTAGTTGCTTCTCTTTAGGTAAGTTTATGCAATGTTAGCTATTTCACTAGCTGCAAGATTTGCTCCAGCGTACCTAGCCAGCGGTAAGCAGGCTTGGCTAGCTGGGGCAGCTCTCGCTCACCTCTGCATTTTACCAAATCCCGCAGGATCCACGCACCCGGGGTCCCAGCCCCGGCAAGGCAGCGGTGCCCGGCTCCGCTGCTCGCTCTGGCCGCTAGTCTATGCTGTTGGACCGGGAGCCGAGCGGCCCGGGGAGCTCGCAGCAAACGCCTGGGCTGAGCCAGCTCCTGCCTCGCATCTGCTGAGCCCAAGCGCAGGCCGGGGCGCTCTATTGTTCTGTTCCGTAAAGGATATTTGGCTTGCTTAATTAACCTATATTTCAGACAAGGCACGCAGGCATTCACCTAGCTCTGTATGTGCCTCTGTGATTAAACTTTAATGAAAGGGAGTCTAAAGTAAATTCCTCCGTGCTATGGCTGGGAAACTGACAAAAAAAGCAAAATATAATATCTGTCAGCTGAGTTATTACCGCTCTGAAGTTTCTCTGAGAAAGGGAAAGATCCCGATCGGGATGAACACAGGGTTGAGAGGAAAGGGTGGTTCTGGTTATGCTTAATAAAGGCTCCTTCAGCTGAGACGGGCACGGGGATACAAACAGCTCGATGCGAAATCCGGATGGGGCACGGAGCAAAGGAGGCAGTACGCAGCTGTCAGAAGAAAGTTTATACTTCTTTGCAATATGTGTGAAAAATCATATAAGTCTTTGTGTTTTCTCCAAAACAAATCCACAGTAGTGCTAGTCCTAAATAATAAGAAAAAAAAAAATCAATGGCAGGCAGACTAGCGCTCATAAGCAACCTTATAATAGCGAAGCAATATATGTCCGTGAAGGAAGAAAAAGGGATTAGATTAAAAAAAAAATAAAAATCACTTTTGAGCATCTAGTGGATTCTTAAAAACAACAGAGGGAAAAATGATTTTGGTCAGTGCTGGGAGAAAAATGCTTTGCCCGGTGTCCTTTAAACTTTCAATTAGAGCAGTTTGAGAGGCACAACAATACACATTTGCTTGCTCCTCTGTTTTATGTTAAAAGAAAAATTTTTAAAGATATTCATTACTAGACTGAGATGAAGGTTAGTCTGATGAAACACCGGCATTGTTATGATCTTAGTACATATTAATGAACTTTTAAAATGCAAATCATTGACCCACTAGGTGGTCTCATGGTCTCATAAATAGCAATCTTTTGCATTCCAGCATCCAAATACCTAGTTAGGAGCTTTACAGAATACACATTATAGGTGATACAGACCATAACAAGCACTTTGGCAAGGGAAAAAATGCCATTCCAGCCTATTGTGTCAATTAAAATGAAGGGATTTTTATGTTATGAACCATATGTTCAAAGAACATTACATGTAAAATTACATACAATCATTCTGCCTGTGAAGAACACAATAATCCTGGTGCATTAGTGTTCGGCTTCTGGTGAAACGCGATACTGGTGTTTCTTCCACTCAGCTCGCGTCAAATAATAATTTGGATCGCAGCCATTCCTTCCTTTGTGCTGTGATCCCACCAAAAGTACAATGAGTACAAGCTTAGGGCGATTAGATGGCAAAGTAAAGCACCACTGAGATCATCCAGAAGCGATGCTGGTGCTGCTGCCACTGCTCCCTCTTGCCAGTGAAATAATTATTGGCATTGCTGGTTCAGAGGAGCCGTGGGTTAGTGGCAGAAGAGGAACTCAGGGATGCTGTTGGCACACGCAGAAACAAATCCTGAGCAGTGGTTCTTACAAAGTGTGGCAGCATCCAAAGTACTCAGTGTCCCAGCTGCCAGCAACGCAGCCCGGTGCCACCGCTCTGACCACGAGGGCCTTTGGTGACCCCATCCCGGCGCAGGAGCCTGATTTTGGGGTCGCACAGGACGCTCGGCAATCACACCCTGCTGCAGCTGCTGCTGCGGGAGCCACCCGCGGCTCGAGAGAAACATCGAGGCACAGTTTATATTAAGCCACAGAAAATGTTTACCAGTTTGTAAAATTATTAATTCTGTTTTTTACTGATCTGTCTCTTTACCAAATTAAGCCAATATATCAAAACTAACGTCTTCCCTTTCTAATTATTATTAATAAACACTGCTTATTTTCCCTTAACAAGAATTCATTTTCTCTTTTCAAATTAATAACAGTCTGAAGGAGCTCAGGCACCACAGGGCCTGATTCCAGGCTCATTTTCAGTGAAGTTAACCTGGAGTAGCTCCAGAGCTTTCAGGTGAGGGAGATTTACAGCTGTGTACGTGGGAGCAGGATCGATCCCTCCACCTGTAGGATCTCTCCTTAAAGTGGAGTGAGCTGACACCAGCACCTCTGCCTCCCAGAGAGGCTGAAGGCTCCCTGCCAGTGCTCTTCCTCTACTCCTGCCACCAGCCACTGGCACAGGATGCCACCACATGACTTGTCCCTGGGGAGCCCTGCCTGCCACCGGCCCTTCCACAACTTTTCGCCCCAGTTTTGAGCAGTTATCTGGCTTCAGACTGAGCCATTCGATGGAAGAGAGCCTAAGATAAAGTGCAAAGGAGCATGTCTTGGGTTGGGTTTTTCCCCAAAGCCCTGGCTGTTGTTTTTTAAGTGCCCTTCTGACACATATTTGTGCTTGAGGAGGTTCAGGAACTTACGCCTCTCAAAAAGGATGTCCACAGTTTATCCCCAACCTCTGCACAGCAAAAGCAACTGCAATCAAATACCCTTATGTTACCCAGCATTTAGCACAGCCCTGACCTGACAGTGCCATCCTCTCTAGGGAGGAGAGGTAATTTAGACTCCCTGATAGCTTTCCCCTGTCCAACTCCATCGTACTGGACATTGCTTAATTATACGTGGGCTGCATTTTGTGTTGTGCCTTTTTCTAAATTAAACCTTCCTTTGTTGTTTTAGCACAGCTTTTGTACTCCTCTCTTAGCTTCCTAGAGCTGCATCTGCACAGCATCTTCAACCAAGCATCATAAAAAATGCTAAATGACTTATGTAGGTCTTCTCACTTAAGGTCATTTCAATTATGGCAACATCAACAGATGTATATGTTCATTAATAAAAGTGTGATATGTGTTTGTGTCCCTCTGAAAGTTCAGTCAGAAAATTATAGATTATACTGAGACACTGCAGGAATTGCTACTCTGTAAGTCAAATGCTCTATTATTAAAAATGTCATCCCATATGAATTTCATAAATAGCAAAGCCAAGAACAGAGTAACCATTTTAAAAAGTCTAGAGGGGATTCCATAACAACATTTAAATGCATTACTACTCAAACAATTTGATTGGATTATAAAATATTTAAAACTGCAGCTGTACTTGTGGTGTTTAATGTTGACTATTTTGATTTCTGGAACGTCTTACCTAAGAAGTACAAGTTTACTAAACTAGTTATGTAATTAGTATATAAATATATAAGAGAATCCATAAAGCAAGGCAATCCATAGCTTATAAGGTACCGTATACAGCCAGCTTATTGTACACACACCCACAAAATGAAACTGAAAAAGAGCATTGGGCGTTAGGGTTTGTTTAAGACTCGCCTCCGAAATAAAGGAGGACCTTATTTTGCCAAAGCTGTTCTAATGACTGAAAATAAATACCACAAGAGATGCAAGACAATGCAGTGCTAAATAGATGGTATTGGCCTGATTCTCAGGTGGTGTAAACTGGCATTAATCCATTGTAGCTAATGGTTAGACAAGTTTTGGCTTTACTTTCATTCTGTGTCCTCTAATTATTTTTTTTCAGGATCTCTCTTACATATGTATTAGGTATGTTCAGGTTTATAATTAAATCTTCATTGACTTTTTAAGCAGAAAGGACAATTTTAAAACCTATTTTTCAGAAGAATAGCCATGTATTAATCCACAAATATATACTGATGCCCATATGTTATAGATATCCTTTCATATGTTAATTGCACTACTTCTGCCAAACTATCCGTCATCTCTGCTGCTTTACCTGGATGGGTGTCAAGACATAATTCATCCAACAAGCTCATGTTATTGGTCACTGCACTTCCACAAAAAGCAACCTCGTTCCAATAGCACAGGGAATATCTGAAGTGACTTTTGTTGCAGCTGACATGTTGGCTGAGACTTGGCGGGTTGGACCGAGGCTGAAAGAGTAAAGCTTTGAAGCAGCTTTACTTAGAGGATGGGTTCTGTGGGCGAGTGGTGTAACATGCCCACATCCTTTGAGCACGTGCAGAAGACTGATGGTAGTTCCCTTATTTTTTGCCCAGCAGTCCCAGGCATGCTTGAAATTCAAAGTTGCCACTGGGACCTTGGGAATGGTGTCTGCTCGTCTCCTGCACGCACTCTGCCCAGCTAATGGACTCAGGCAGCGTGCAGCTCCTGTCTGTCCTTGCATCAGGGCAGAACGGACAAGGTCTTCTCCGCTTGACATTGCTCCTGCAAAGGCAGACAGGATGGCCCAAGATGCACACACGCCCACCATGCATTTACATATGTGCCACAACACGGGATGAAAAAGCTTTGGGTGCCTGTGAAGGCCTGGCCAGCAGGGTCATCCTAAAATATACTTCTACAGACATACAGACATCATTTGCACATCTGCAAATTCAAAATGCCCTTCTGAACCATCTCTACTCCTGCCTACTATTTAGGCTTGGCATAAAAACATCATCCACATGTCTCAGCAAGCCAAGTCACCTTTCAGACCCTGTTTTCCTGAGGGAGAGTCACCTGTATTTATTTCTATTAAACAGAAATTAACTTGGACCTCCATATGCCACCTCATTTGGCGTAGTTAATTCCAGATTCCAGAGTTATCATTAAAACAAAAACTGCATCTTACACATTGAAATCGGTGGGAATTAGGCTTCAGTAAGGCATACAAGGCTGTAACAAAGATAATCAACCAGCATAAGGATAATCCACTAATTGTTGAAATGAGGCGGAACATCTCCATGGCTTGTCTCAACAGCTAGCCCTGGGCTGAGTCGTGTTTGGAGTTCAGGAAGTTTTTATCATTTTAAAGTATGTCAAGCCTGTGCACTTCAGGGCACAGCAGGAAGCAGAGGGAGGATTTTGCCTGCCCCGAGGTAGGCAGTTCCAGGCAGGGAAATGAAGATCACCCAGTTCCAATCGAGCAAGTGAACTCTCCTGGTTCCAGCTGAGGGCACGCATATCCACCAGGCCTTCAAAACCAGGCCAGTGCCTAACTGGTACACACTCTGCTTCCTCAGATGGTCTTTGAAAAAGCATCCCGTCTTTAAAAGGAACACAAACCTGAAGTTTCTGTAATTTCCTGGGTTTCTATATGACAAAGAGGCCAAAGGCTGCTGAAGCAAATTAGGATCGTGCTCTCAGTATATCTTTAGAATTATTTTGTTCTCAGCCTGAAAGCAGAATTTGACATTCAGTAACCTTTGTAAGTCCAAAGAAATGCTATTGACTTCACTGCAACTACTATAAATTTACGCTTAATATAAGTGAGAGTGGAGCTGTGCCACAGTTTGGTCATTACTCTATGAATTCATATGATATAGAACAAGCCCAGCAGTTATTTGTGTTGTTTTTATTTCGAATGGCTAGCTTGCTGGTGCATGGTAATTTTCATGAGTGGTCCCTGCCCTTGATCATTTCAAATGGTGTTTGAAGCATTTGGATCTTAAAAATCTCACTGTCTTCAAGGAATAGAGCCTTTCCTGTGACTGGGTGTGAAGTTAGATCTGTGCCATTTAAGAGAGAAGTTCAGAAAAAGGTACACTGGAAAATTGAGCATGAACGTATGCACGTAGTGGAGAGGTAAAATCACAAAAATTAAGGGAAATGTAGTGCCAGCAGAGCTCTTAGCATTTGGCTGCCTTTATTCCTCCTGTTCTACCTTTGTGTGGTCTTCCTTGAAAAAATAGCTACGTTTGTAGAAAATACATGAAAAAACATGTGTATTCAGGTGTGGCATGAAGGAGCTTACATTACTTTTCCCAATTGCTACATCTTGTTAGAATGATGCCGCTGGCAAGAATTTGCCAGCTTGTGGTTACAGGCTGAGCAGCTCACACCTTCAACAAGGCCAGTGCCCTACTGCGTCCATATAATGCCTTGGATATAATGGACATACATCTCTCATCATTGTATTCTTAATGGCTTACTGTACTTTGCAGGTTGTCCTGTAGGTGCAAAGAGTCCAAAGAATATTTCAGAGGCAAAACACCTTTGAAAGAGGGTCAAAAGGGAACAGACACCCAGTTTCATTCTCCTCCATTAAGGCAGGGTTTAGGATTCAAGTTTTACAGTAGAGGGGCTCTATTTACCTCAGTGAGCTTATTCTTGATTTACACTGGATTAGAATTAGTTCTCACAAATGTAGAAATGTATTCTACCAGGATGGTGATGGAAGCATTGATCCTAAACAAATAAAATGACCTTCTCCTTCAATTACTTTGGGCTTCACTAATTAAAATAATTTTGCTAATGAAAGCTGCAAAAATATTCACACAATTCTCATGCAGTCAGTCTGACCTTCTGCTGACGTTTCTGATGATGGCAAATACTTTACTCACCAGAAAGTGAGTAGCTGTGCATGCTGCAGAGCCTCTTCTACGACATAGGAAACCAGAAAACCTGAAAATAATAGTTCATTAGAGTAACTTCAGTATCAGTGGCAGGCACTGAGTTCTGTGCAAACATGCATGGTGACTTAAAGGTGCTAACACATCTTCTGATCTCACGGCTTCATTATTTCTTACTGACCTATTGACCAAATCCATTGGTACGATTTACAAACCATACCTGCGTACCCTCTGGGAGTAGAGGTTATTTTTGTTGAAATAGTGTTCCTAGAGACAAAATCACTAGCTCAGGCAGCCAACACTTAAAATTCCTTTTGAAAGCAATTGGAGTGTCGAAGAAAGACTGTAAGAATTGGGCCAAATCATTTCTGAGAGATATGTTGATATAAGCATCGGTGAAGTATGACTTAATACTGGGAAAAGAGTGTAACATTTTGCCTGCCACATGCTTATTAGCTTGCACACTGGTGAAATGTAGGAGATTTCATACACTGTTCTGAGTTATGTCCTTGATTCTTTCATCAGCACTAGCAGAGACTGCAGTGATGATCTAAACAAGAGAGAACATTTTGTTTGGGTGCACTTGGACATATTGGTGCCCTACTAGTGAGTAAGGGAAGCATACTGAGCATTACCAAGTTCTCCTATTGTTCAGTTCAATATTTATTTTCTAAAGGTATTTCATTTCAAGCCCTATTTTTTTTTAAATGCTGCTATACTACAGAAATTATGTTAATTAACCAACTTCTTACATACCGTTCCCATCTTGACTCTTTTTTTTTTTTTTGACATGCTGACATACCATTTTTTAATTGTGGTACAGTCTGAGGTCCGCAGCTTATCCTTAGAGCTCTCTCAAGACTAATCCAACCAACGTTTAGCCACGCACATGGTAGTTCAAGGGAGTAAAAATAAGGAAACAGACAATGGAGGGGAATGGAGGTAAGGAAGCTTTTGTCAACAGAAAATTCTAATCCTCAAAACATTTTGTGTGTTTGAAACAACATTTAAAGTGTTGCAAAAATACAAACATAGCATATAGGACCATACCACTCCGCCAAACAATAAGATGAAGAAGTGCTAGAATATATAAAAGAATTACTATAAACTCTCATTTTCATTTTACCGAAGTGAAGAAAAGCAATTCCAAAGATATTTACATGTGGCTGGCCAGACTGCAGGAGTGGCCTGCTTAGTACCTAGTAAGCTGTTTTGGATATAGGTTACCAGTTGCTGCAGGAAGACTCCTCGCTGAAAGCAGTCAAATATCTACCAAAATATGCACGCGTAGTTGCTTCCCAGCTCACATTAGGTAATGTCTGGCATATGCTCTGAAGCAGGATGGTTTATTTCCCTACAATAATTTTTCCTCCTGTCTTTAAATATTTGCAATTAGAAATCTGGATAGTCTTGTTATATTTAAATAAATGTCACTCTTTAGGCTTCACTGATATCTTCTGGCAATTAATTATTTATTCTACGAGTGCATTGTATACTCATTTTTAATGTACAACCTTTCAATTTCGTTACAAAGCTCCTTTTGCTCATATTATAGACACTGCGTGGTTGCAAGTCAGAAGGGAGGAATCCCACAGCCCAGGGGCTGCAGCATTAACCAGCCATTCCCCAAGAAGCGTGTGGCTCCACGCAGCGGCGTGTGCCTCTTACCCGAATTTGTTACTCATATGGCTGCAGCACACGGCCAACCACACCATCAATGAGGGCTACGGCATTGTAGGCACTCTGCAAAGGGCTGATCCCTCCCTAAAGACCCTACATAAATAAAGGAGATGAGATCTAATGGCATTTTCAGTTCCCAACTTCCAATGGCCTTACACCCTCGTAGCTGTGCTGCATTCTGAGCCTCACATCTCTCAAGGCAGAACTGCCTTGATCCAGCACAGCAATGGGGCAGCAGTAATTCGGATGACATCCCTGTAAACTGGTGGATAAGGATGGGGTACAAGCAAGCCCTGAGGCAGCGCTCTTTTGTCCTTTCCCTTCTCACAGGAGCCTACTGAAAGCACAAAGGCTGCTCCCCCAGCTAGGCTGTAAGTGCCACAGCAGAACATTGCTGTTGCTTTTTGCTGCATCCCCCATTTTCCACGGGCAGGGCTCTCCCCCCAGGTAGGTGTGGGTGTTGAGCAGGAACAGGGGGCTGTGCCTGCGATGCCTATTCATGCTTCATCTCGTGAAGCGTGCGGATTGCTACCCACCCAAAGCCAGCTCTGCGTAACTTTGCAGTTTTCTGGCTTTCTGGCATTTACAAAGGATTGTGCCAGGCTACGCGCTCCCTGAGCAAAGCCTTAATCTGTTTTCAGCCAGTTACTTTTTTTCTGGCAGCAGATATAAGGCCACACAGTCAAATAATGAACTTGTCTTTCATTTGGCTATAGTTTATTAATGACAAAAACGCTAATCCATTAATCAATTTAAAACAAGTTGGTAAATGAAAAAAAAATTCTCAGTCTCCTTTAGTAACAGGATCACATGCATCTTAAAAGGGGGCCATTATCTCCATGGGTTTCTCAGCTGAAGTTAAAAATCTAAAAATGATTTTCATTCATTTCTCATTAATATGCAAAATTATTCAAATTAGATAGTAATTAACCATCTACTCAGTAGAAAACCTTTTCATGATAATTTATGATAAACTCAGTAGCAGCTTTGATTGAGATTGATTTTTGGTGTTGAGAAGCTATCATGAATACAAAAAAGCACCTGAAAAAATATTTTTAAACACCTAACTTACTGCTCAGCTAATTATATGGTAACCATGTTCACAGATTATTTCAAAGGGAGGCCTATAGGCAAGATACTAATGCCGAATGAAACAGGCAAAACATCCTTTTGAGTTTGTCCTACATTTCATCTTAAAGCTCAGCTTTCTTTACATCTCGCAGCCTAATTCATTTAGAATGTTAAATGTTTAGCGCTGTTTAATTCAGCAATCGGCTACATTGGAACTGGGGCTTTGCCTGATAAGGCTTACAGGATCGCTTTCAAGATAAAACTGTTTTGAAAAATCAAAACACATTCGAGACAAACTGTTGTTTTACAATGCAGCGTCCCTGGGAAAATAGCCACGATTTGTAAACAGACTCCAGATTTATTTTTGCAGATGGCAAAGGGAGCTCAGCGGGTTACAGGGTTAATATCGTGGGCACGCTGCACTATGGAGAATATGGTTTTGTTCTTAGCAGCAAAGACGAGCTTCAGGACTGGGGACACGGTAGCTCTAAGCACTGGGGATTGCTGTTCAGAAACGTTACTCTCCTGAGGTGGGAAAACCAGAGGGAAAGCAGCATTGACCTTGTGCTGCTGAAGTAGCATTAAGGGGAGAAAAAACCCTATTTGGTACCTATCCTGCTCGTGGGAATTGCTGTGAGCACCCATGCCAAAGAGGCAGGACTATGGAGGAAAGAAAAAAACTAATCTTCTTAAAGGCTTTTTCTCTGAACTTGATCACAGAACTAACGCAACCAACAACTGATGATCTGCTAGTAAATAAGGTATATACCGCACATCCTGCGGATCTGCTGTCATTTGAATAATTACCAGCAGTAAGAGGAAAAATAGGAATTTTGAAGCCAAACCTTTTGAACTCATCTACGGGAGGGAATGGAAGAGGAGGGGAAGGGAGCAGATTTGGGTTATGGGTTAGGCTCCTAGGGTTAGGCTCCTGCTCAGATCCCAAGCTGAAAGGCCTCTTCTCCAGGGTGTAACCAAGGCTATGCTTAAGCTGCACCTCACCACAAGTAAATCTTTCCAAGTCCTTAAACCAAGACTCAACATATGCCTACGGCGCAGTGCCATGCCCTCCAAAACACCCAGCTCTCAGAAGCAGTGAGTGGTGGCTGCTGGCAGCCCAGTGCTTGGCTCCCCACCATCACTCACTGCTGCCCCAGCTAATGCAGGGTCCTCTGTGCTGTGCCCCGCATCCTCCACAGCAGAACATGGTCCTGTCAGAAACCTGCAGCAGAACAATCAATGATTTATGCAAAACCAGGATTTGTCTACTAGGTTGTGGCCTTAAAGTCAATAGAAACCTCACATGTCCAGCCGGTATTAATGATACCTGGTAAAGAACCAAATGCAGGGACTAGGTATAAAAATATTCTTATCGAAAGCTGCAAGATGAACGTGGTTCAGTAATAAAAACATACCTAGTGGCAAAAGGGTAGAGTGATGACTACAGAAATCTTCTTTCACATTGGTACAACAGCATCAACACTTTTTTTTTTACTGCCCCAGTGCAATTTGCAAAGTCCTTTTCCTCATCAGCGTGCTATACACATGTCCTGGTTAGTAAATAATCCCCAACTGCTCTGTTATCTTACACATTGGACCATATTTGCCATCAGCTGACTGCGTACCTACACAAAGCCAAGCTGACTGAATCTGGCTGCCTTGCTCCTCATCACTTACCCTGCCTCCAGTCGCTTCCAGATGGCAGGGTGTTACAACGCCTCCCCTCGTTCCTCCCTGAAGGCCAGGGGGTGGCAGTGGGCAGCCTTCCCCCGGAGCCCTGCCTTCTGCCACCCCACAGGGTACCACATTCATCCTGAACGTGTTCATCCACAGCAGTGACAAGAGAATGCTTTCAAAGGGCAATAAAAAACTGTTGAGAAGTTACCAATGATACCCAAGTTAATATTTCTTCTTCCAGGAGCATGGTGAGAATCTCAGATGGGATGCAGGATGTTCAGAATATGCAAACTGATTTCAGCCTACCCAGACGTCCTGTCATGATGGGCCTCAAAAAGAAAGGTTATTTCAGGGAAGAAAATACTGTGTCCCACAACACATTTAGCTGTTGGATCCAAGAGAGGCGAGTCACACAGAAGACATGATTTCTGAGGGACTGATGCAATTAACAGTGTTTTCTGAGACAGTGGAGAAAGATACAAACAAGAAATTTGTTCCGAACTTCCACATCCATTGCCTTTCAATCATCTTTTCCCTACTTTTTGAGATTCAAATAAATTGAAGGCAGCCTTGTCTTTGACAAAAGGAGAAATAATAACAATGCCCTGGGTACTTATAAACCCT